TGCAAAACGCGCATTACTTTTGCACCAACCTAATAGTTCTTGTAGACAAATGAGTTTCTTGGGGTGTGTCACTTCGGTTGCAGCCTGGGAGGCATCCGAAAAATAGAGTTATGGCAATTTTTTCCTCGAGACCTTTATCGAAGAGAAAAAACATCTGTCAAGAAGCTGCGTTGAATGATACTCTAGCTGTTCGCCGTTTGATGACGAGACTTGGGATAAATAAATATTGAATTTAGTACCATCAAAATGATAATTTTGAGGAATTAGAAAGGCCAGCTTTTACTTCCTTGAACAGACTCTATGGTCAGTACTCAACCTACAACGACAATTTTTGAACTGCACAGAAATTTCCTCATATTTTTGAAGTTTGTTTGTTGTTCAGCTTAGATTTTTGATCATCTCCTTTTGTTCTGTTGCATCCAGCATTTTTCCGGAATTTTTTCCTGCACGCATCATCGTATACAGTTGCATTGCTTTTTTGTGGTTCTAAAATTCACCCAATCTACCCTAAACGACACCCAATAAAAAACGTGTTCTTCTGCCCTATATTCTATGAAAAACGCATTCCTCGTCCTTCTTCTTTGCTCCATTTGCACTGGTCAAGTCGTAGGCGCTGATTTTTTGTTGATCTGAAGTTCTGTTCCCGCATTTTTGCACAAAAATTACTTACACGTGTACAATGAGATTTTTTTCACTGTTGTGAACTTGTTTTCTCTCCAGGATCCTTACTGCGGATTCACGGCGCAACCGATCAACGCCGCCTACTATATGCCCGGCGTGTATAATGACGGCTATAGTCATGAGCCGTATGGACAAAACGCTTATATAGGTTTGCATTACTTCTCGACCAATCAATATCAATCAATTATTGATGTTCTACTGATAATTGACGATTGCAGATAGTGCATATGGTGATCTACAACAATATCCGTACTATGGTGGTGGCTATACCTACACACCATACTACGGTAATGGTCATGCCTACTACAATCAGGCCTACCAAGCTGGTCAAGCCTACCCGGGTGCGTACGGACCATATCCGGGCGCTTCCGGAGCCTATCGACCCTATCCTCAGCCGCAGCCATCACCTCCGCGACGGTCACGGTAAGCCATAATCTCAGAGGTTGAAAATTTTGTCTTTGCAAAAGTTCCAATTTTTTGCTGGGAGCTGAAAGAAAAAAATAAAATGTATTTATTGTCAAAGAAAGCAACATTTTCTATTGATTTATAGTCATATTATTTATCTTTCAGGACGGCGCCTGGTCGTACCGCACCGCCCACTTTGCGAACCGCGACCGCGACACGCAAATCGCGCGGAATTTCCGCTGATCCATACGAAAAACGCTTCAAGGTCGGCACACGTTTGGTAAATTTTCGTAAAATGACATTAAAGATGCACAAAATATTGATATTTATCACATTTCTACTTATACGCTACCTATAGGCCGCTGCTGGACGAAGGCGCTTTATCTTTGGGCGCGAACGCGGCTTTAT